ATTCCTTGACCGGTGGGGTCTGCAACCTGCCCCTTCTGCTGGACTGAATGGGGCGGGCTGAAATAACCGGGGTGAGACGGTTCCTCAGATAACCTGGTCCTGTGCCATACAGGGCTTAAAAGGTGATGACCCACACCTTGAATTGGACCCAGAAACAAACTGGCAACCAATGCAGCTCACGCAACAGTGGTGTTATATGTGCCCTTCTAGGGGCATTGAGAACTGTCCACGCTGCCTCATTCTGCACCAGCTGTAGCTTCCGGATACTCTTCAAGGGTAGCCCCATGTAGAGCGTATTACAGTAGTCCAACCCGGAGGTGACCAGGGCATGAGTGACCGTGCAAAAATTCAAAAAGCAAAAGTGATGTGTTAGTCAACTTTGGTTAATCCTTTTTATATTATGAAACCGAGACCCTTAAAAGCAGTTGTCTTCATGTAGGGCTCCCAAAATAGATTCCCTGGGCCATGGTGAGCCACTTTAAATTTATCCAATGTGTTATATGACACTCTTGGTTTGAACAGTTGCTTCTCTCTTCCTCAGAAGGAAGGAATTAGAACTGCTATTCAGGCATTTAAAATTTTTAGATTATGGGCCAGTTTTGTCCTTCCATTTTAGAGTTCAAATAGTAAAATTACACAATAGTAAAAGTCCAGAGTTATGATTAAGAAGCCATTAAAAAGAGCACAAAAGCATTCATATTTAATTCTCAGTGAACTAAGTAATACAAAATTTCACCTCACCATACAGAGATTGTTTTTAAAAGTTAATTTAATTTTCATGGTTCATATTGTATTTACTAAGGGTGCACCAACACCATTTTTCCCTAGACCATAACATACGTCTAACTATCTGCATCATTCCACACTTGGTTCTGTAATAGCTCAGGCATTTTTCAAGGTTCCGTGAAAAAGTTATCTAGATTTAAATTTTCCTTTTCTTTAGATCATAATTCTTACAAGAAAAGCTTTATTTAGAATCTACGGATACAGACATTTTAATGTTTCTAGTTTGAAATATCAGGTTATCTTTTCTAATGGGGAAAGTGTGTCTTATCTGCTAGATGTAGCTTACAAGGGAACAAGTTCTTCTAAAGTCAACCAAAAACTTAACACAGTGTACAATATAAATATAAAAGTGCTAATTACTTCAAAGATAAAAGCAAGTGAGTAACTTGAAGGGGGATACTATAGGAAGACTGCTCTTCTGCATCCTCCAATAAAAGCATAGTACAAAATATGAAAGGTAGCTTTGAGTCAAATAGAACTAGTTCAGGTTCGCCTCTTCACTTAACTACACTGAATGAGACTGTGGTTAGCTGATATTATCCGTATTGTGCAAACAGATCACACTGTGGAAGAGATCGTAATCAAGCCATAAATGCTACTATAAAATTGTGGCTTAGTGGATATTCAGACTTCTAGTGGTTTTTCAAGGAATGCAAACTTGTTAATGGCTTATTAAGCCAAATAGTACCAAGAAGTACCAATAGAGGTGAATATGTGTAGCTCAGGGTTGAACTGTGGAGTCCTTGGGGTTCTTTGAGCTTG